AATGTTGTCATGATTGAAACATGTCCATTTAACAACCAGAATAATTACAAGGATGTTACATGATTGAATCGTGTTTAGGGAAGCAGCACGATGAAAACATGATACTTTAACATAAATTAGTTTTAATAAATGAACAACCACCCTTTTCCCGTTTTTTCAGTGTAGTGGATAAGTGACACACATTTAAACAAAATGTGTGACAGCTTTCACCCTCAGCAGGTAACAATAACGTTGATCAATAACATTTAAAGACCTCAGTTAGTGCATCTAAATTTAGCCTAAAAATTTAGCAAGTGCTAATCCATCAAGAAATTTTAAAATTAGCAAAAGCTCTAAAGCACTAATCAGGAAATTAGTTCCCATATTAGTGCTTTAGTGCTTTAGGGGAACTGTGCCAATGGCTAGACTAATGCATCATAAATTATTTAATATTAACATTTTAATAATACATTTTAGTCATTTTGAAATTTGAAAAATCTTACAGCCTACTTTTACTAAATACTTTTACTTACTTAAATACCTTTAACTCTTAACACTTACACTTACATTTTAGATCTGAAATGTTATTTAATATAGTTTGATAGAAAATTTTCATATACTTTAAGACTTTTACTCAAGTAATATTCTTAGAGGAGACTTTTTCTTTTACCAAAGTAATTTCACGGTAAAATACTTGTATTTTTACTCAAGTATATGTTTGACAGAAATTATACAACACTGACCGGAGACAATCAAATTACCCTTAAATAAGTAGCTAAATCTTTGTTTTCTGACTGACTTGCTATTTTAGTCTACATAAAACACATGAAATAGTCCAATACAGCAACCAATGAACTCAAATAGACAGCTGTAAATAAAGACTGTTTTCACTTTTAAACTCTAACAGCAAGATTTACATAAAGAAAACAGATTAAACACATCTGACAGGTACAGAAGAACAAGGGAGAAACAGAAGGAGGATACTGTTTCTGCACTCTGCTACAGTTTTTACTTGTTAGCACCAAACCAGATTTACTGATCAATAATTTATTTACTGTTTTGAAATCAAAGTCGTACAAACTATAGTGTGAGATCCGAAGATTGCATAGAAGCCTTTTCATTAAAAAGTCAATGAGGAAGAAACCAACTTTGTCTTTAGGAAATTTATTATAAAAGTAGAGCAATAAAATGTCATAGAATAATGAATGAATATACTAAAATTTGACCCAATATGGTCCTTTGTG